GAACTGAAGATTAAGGAAGAACATATCTGTTATGCCAGCTCCTCCAGGAAAGAGGCACTCAACTGACCTCAACTAGTTCAGAAACGAGACCTTTCAGGGAGAAGAGTGCAGGGGCAAAGGAGTGAAGAGTACTCTGCATTTGTGACATCCCCCATGATGTCTCTCTCATGCTTCATTACGTGACCCAAGCAGAGATAACTGAGAAGTATAAAATGATAACTCTTGGTCAGGAGCCTGCTGACACTGCTTCATCAGTGCACAGCCTGCCTGCTAAGCTACCACCGATCCGTCAGCATGTAACAGTCAGGCAGGCTCTTGCCCCTGCCCTCACCACCTCCCTGGCAGCCCCTTCCCAACAGACACAACAGCAACATGTGCTGTCACCAACCTCCACTGCTAACAAAGTCCATCATCCTAGAAGGAACCTTCTACAAAAGGGCAAAACAGGACAAAGAGATAAATACATTAGTGCTGCAAAATCAACAAACAGGAATTCACACACTGCAAGTGTGCTTGGGTCTCAGCCAAGCTGTGTACTGGAACGCTGAGCTCTCAGCTGTATGTTGCACTTGGTGTCGTCTCCTACACTCAGCCTCCACCACATGAAGACAGCGTGTATGTTCACATGGACATCTCACAGACCGTAAGCCACGGTATTCAATTCAAGTAGCCAGGGACATTGCAAGTTATCATAGGTGACAAAATTTCATATTATATAAAACCTAAAAAACTCTCAAACAACTAGTGAATTAACAATAGGTTTGCCAGACATTAAGCAAGAAGATTCAAGGGTCCTGAAACTTCTCCCTCTAAAAATTTAAAAGGACACAAAAGAAGGACCAGAATATTGTTTATTTTAAAAGATTCCCCAGTGGGGGTTCCCTATTATTTTTCTGTATAACAACAGCAAAGTTCCCTTCATACATAGCTAGCACAGCAGATTTAGTGAGAAAGATCCTCATTTTTACAAAAGACACAAATTCTGCAGACAGCTCAGCGATCCAGGCACTAGAAGCCCTGGGGCTGATGGAATAAGCTATGCAGATGGAAACAATTATTTAGGGGTGGAAGGACTCCTGCATGCATGGAGCAACATCTCGCTAAAACTGAAGCCTCCCACCGACACATTCCAGACTCTTGGAGTAATCTACTTTGGGGAATATGCTTTAAGCTACATCAGCTTTTGTATTTCTTTCTCCAGACATCTTTGCAATCACAAAACATACTCCCCTGCTAACTGACCTAACGGTCTTACCAAACAGCAACAAATACCAGAAAGTATTACAGACATCTGAATCTAAAATCATTTAGAGACCTAACTTTTTAGCTAACAAGTTGATTTCAGACAAGCTTTTCACTCTGCAACACACCTGGAAAGACTTACCCACATGATTAACAATGCTGCGGTGAATGACTTGTGCATAAAATTCATGGCATAAAATAATGAATACATCATACAGGCCATATAAGGTGATATGCAGAATGTCAAATTGAAGTGCCTTATATAATTCAAATCATGTTTCTTAGAAAGGAACAGGACTACAGAAAGGAATAGCACTAATTGATTAGAAATATCTAATTAAAGGTAGTCCTTTCAAGCCAGCTGCATAAAGAATATTTCATATAATGTGATGCAGGAGAAAAATAACTCCAGCAGGTTTCAATTAAGACACTGCCATATGGATTTTACATCTGCAGCAGGAAGGCTCAAACACCATGTCACAACTAAGACATTTTTATGTCTCCAACTGAAAGCACTTAAACTGCTTGGAATAGATGCATATTGGCCATAACATCCCCAATTAAGCAAACATTTTGCTGAACTCAGAGCCTAAAAGACATGCAAAGCTAGAATATACTTTATTCCAGGTCATGCATTGTGGCCTCTAACTTTTAAGGGATAAAAAGAGCCTAAGAGTGTATAGCACATACTCTTGTAACCTTTAGTGCCCTCCTCACCCAGCTAAAGCAGAAGACTCCAGTGCAAGTCTCACAGTGATTTTTAATGAGGCATTAAGGGGGCAGGGGGGTTCTTTGATCCCTACAGACAGAGAGGGGCACTTCTCCCCAGAGCAGTTTACACACACCTTCATGAGCACATGTGAAAGGCTCCTCAGGTCACCACCTCACTCAACCTCCTGCTTAAAGCTGGCTCAAAACAGAACCCAAATGGGTGCTGAGGGCTTCGGCCAGTTGGGTCTTGTAAAGGGCTGAGGTGCCACAACCTCTGTGGGCCCCCATTTCAACAGTCCTCTGTACTTGCAGGGAGTGATGTTTTCCTTAAGTCAAGCTGGACCCTCACCTGTTTCAATTTACAAAGCTTTGGCAAGTGACATGATTCTCCATCCAACTAATCAAAGATGCTGTGAACTGGAAAACAACATTTACAGGTTCTTCCTTTAAACATCAAAAACACCATCTCAAAAACCATGTCTTGATTAAACCAAGAGCTGTGCTGCTGCCATTGCGCCCTCTTGGGGCACAAGGGACCGTGAGCCAAATCTTCAGCATTATTTTTCTACGTGCAGCTGGACCCAAGAACCCCGATTCCTCTTTACTAAAAACAGATGTCGGCCAAGTTAAATCATCCCATGACTCCTCCAGGAGAAGGATGTAAACAGCCCCAGCTCACCCAGCTATTACCAAAAGAGGCCCCGCTAACAAGTTAGAGATCCCAACATGCTGCAAGACTTTATCCCGAAATGCTGTTACATACTTCTTTCAGACATGTTCATCACTTAAATCCATCAAAACACATTAGGTCACTTGAGTTTACACTAGAGTTTGGGTCTTTTACGAATTTCTTCCAGAGTTCTGAGCTCAGAGGAGAAAGAAACCAGTTATCTACATTTCTCAAATGTTTAACAAACCCCACCCCTGTAACATGCCTGCAAAGTGAATGCTTTACAAATAAGTCAGGGGAAAAAAAGAGAGATTAAGTGATGTGCAAAAAGGTCATAAAACATCTACGGTACAGTTTGGTACACAGAAGTGCAGGCTTCTGTCTCTCAGGAGGCTTAACCTCAGCCAAAAGAAACTACCACTAATGCTGTGGTCCAAAGTGTTCAGTCCAGGTTTTGGTATCAAACTTTTGCAGCTAAGAAAACTATATGCTTGCTACAATATAGAAGCACCCTGGGATGGAGGTGCATACGAGGAATGATGCTTTGCCGCACGTGAACAAGAGACCATGTTGGTGAATTAAATCCAAAACTGCAGAAAAACCTTCATTTAAAAAAAAAAAAAAAATCATCTATTTGCAATCACTGCAAACAATCACATTGGAAGGAGTTCTACTACAATATCCAAGTCTGCAAGCTCTAATACTCTTGCTGATGCCCAGAAAACTGCTTTTGCACACAACAGCAAATGGGAAATTAAACCACAAATTCACTGATGCTATTCAAGTGCTTGCAGACTACAAGGCAGCGGAGAGGCCGTGCTACTTTCACAGTGCGAACTTCAAATGCTCCACAGAGATAGGCACGGCAGCAGGCATTACAGCTAGATTCAGGAAAAAAATTATTTTAACAAAGACGGAGCACAACATGAAGTCTACAGGATTCAAAATGAGTCCCCCCCACGTCTGTAGGTCTGGGCACATTCTCCACGTCAGGTTCACACATCACCAACCTCTTGCAAGAAGCACAGACCCACAGCAGAGCCCAAATGGCCTTTCCATACTGTTTTTAGCCAAATCCACACATAAAAGTTTTATTCTTAACAGACAAATATTTAGTCATGCGTTATTTGTCGTAGCTCAGAGACAGGAAAACCAGGTATAAACCACTATTGCCATCAGCATAGCTGTGGCACTGGGGAACTCCGCAGGACCTAGTAATCCTCAGAGTAGGTTTCTCAAGCAGGTTTTGCGTGCTGGCACCAACCCCCCTGCTATTCCAGTGACATTGCAAGCGACAGCCAGCCCAGCCAAGCTAAATCTATTCCGAGCATATTTACATAGACTAAAAACCACTCAAAGCATATACTTTAGTATTACCAGGCTTTAAAACATCACGAGGCAACACAAGAAGCAGCAATAATCTAGTAGACCTTTAGGCAGTTCACCTACCCACCTCAGTTCATCTACTTCTTTGCAGTGACGATCCCAGTAAAACATTTTTAACTTGAATTATAGCATTTTGGCAACTGCCTCCTGCCTCAAGATAATACGGTTTCTTAGTGAACTGAGATTAACAGAGAGCCCAACATATTCAAGTAGCCTAAACAAGTGAAATCCCACAGAGACGGGAGGCATCCTCGGCAATTCAGCTACAAGATTAAGTCCTTCTCGCCAACGTGTTTTTAAGTGCACATAGAGGAGGTGGAAAAGAGAAAAACCTTACGACTACCAGAAAACATTCTTCTCGATGGCTCAGGGAAGGCAGCTTTGAGATGTGAGCGAGGGGGCTGCAGCTGAAACAATAACCCCGCTCCCCGGTGGAGAAGCCAGAATCTGCCGGGAAAGCAGCAGTTTAGCGCTGAACCCCGTTAGGGCAGCTGAAGCGACAGCAAGCCCACGGCCGAGCCGCCCTCCTCCCCTCCCAACCCCCCGAGCACCAGCCTACCTGCGCGGCCCTCAGCACCGCCCGAGCCGCGGAGGGCAGGCGGGGCCTCTCCCGACGGCCGCCCGCCAGCCCGCGGGCCTGGCTCCGCGCCGAGCCGAGGCGCAGTGCCCGCGGCCCTCCGCGCCGCGCAGGCGGGGGCAGCCCCGGGGCTCGGCCCGGCCCCTGCGCGGGCTCCGGGAGAGGCGGGGCCGGGCGGGCCCCACGCGGGACCGCTGCCCCCCCAGCCAACAGCAGCCGCCGTGCGCGGTCCCTCAGCACCTCACCCCCGCTGGCAGGCGGGGAACAGGCCCAAAGGGCCCCCCCCGGGAGAAGCGCCCCAGCCCCGCGTCACCCTCGGGGCGGGGGGGGAAAGGGGAGATGGAGTTTTCGCTCTGCAAACAGCTGAGGAACGGCAAATATATTTTTTCTAAGTAAAGAACCTGCAAAAATAAAGGCGTGGACAAACAGGTTTTATTTAAGAGCATACTGCTCTGGACAAATATTTAGACATGTGGAGTTCAGGGGTTGAGGAGGAAAAACAACATAAACAAGGCATGGTTCATAATTAGTGAAGGCTGGTGGCAAATGTTCCGCAGCATGCACGTACAAGACACAGCTACTTCCCACGAGGAGCAGAGACAAACCTTTTCCACAAGCAGCAATGTGCTCTTTGGGATGGGACTTCCTAATTCAGGTCCTCTTAAAAAGGAGTTTGTTGAATGTGTGCATCAACACTAGGAGCAAACAGCTGTTCTGCTCATAGCCTGACAATCGGATAAACCCTTAGGCCACAAAATTATGTCTCATCCCAGTCTCACCAGCTGGCCACTTTGGACCATAATCTAACCTTGTATCAGCCTGGCAGCTGTGCTGAAAAAGCGCATCCTGAACACAAATTAAGGAAATGTATACTCAAGATCTGCTGAGGGGTTAATTATTGCTTGTTAATGGGAGGTGGGATTGTTTCCTACACTGACAACTGACAAGTGGGAGATCAGAAGAGTGCTAGTTGCAGTATGGGCAAAATAATCACCAGGCTATACTGCATTTAAGCTCCAGTAAGAAGCATTACTGAGAGCTATTGCCTTGATCTTATTTGTTTGAAATCAGAGCAGTAGTGGTGAACAGAGAGTATCACTGGTGCCAGTGTGGTGCTTGATCCTTATAAAAAAGAAACTCATCCCTCTGTAAAGTGGGAGGGGAGCAGAGTAGGTGGTACCCAAGTGCCAGACAAGAGGCTGGCTGCTGTTATCTAAATAATACCTAGCCAGTCGATACAGTTCACTCTGAAAGTAGCTGCTGTGACCCGACTGCACATTGACTTAGGCTTGAGAAAGTTTCCTTTTCAGAGAATTAACGTCTCTGCCATGCTGCAGTAGCTCTCACCAATGCTGAGCAGTATTGCTGCTGATGGTTGTGGGGCTACCTGCTTTATTTCACCGTGAGGTGGTTCTCTGAGCTTCACCACTCTTTTCCAGTTTCCTCCCCAAGACTGAAGCCAACAGACCTCTGCTCTTCAAGCCTCAGGGAGCCCAGGATTTTCACAACTTTTTCACTCAGCAAGACAAACAGCTGAGGCATGTAGATAATCAGACAGGATAGCAGCAGTTGAATCCTCAGGACATTAGAGATCTGGAGCAACTGGCAGGCAAAGTTCCAGGTGAGAGAAGAAAGAATGGTGCACAACAGCTGATGAAGAAAAGGAAGAACAGAATTGTCATGTCAATCGTGTTTTCAAAAGAGTTTCAATTTTCAGTAGGTTATAAATGATTTGAGACTATGAGTGCTTGTTCTCCTCTCTCATCCATCTAACACAACTAGCAAGCCTTTCAGTATGAGTATTAAGTCCTAGAAGAGACAGGTTTAAACCCCAGTTCTTCAAACTGCTGTGTTCAAATCAATACTTGTATAAGAGCTCTAGGAGAGCCAAATGGTACCTTAGACAAGTCCAAGCTGATTCTTAGCACTGTTTCTCTAGCCTTTGAACGACAACAATTAAAAAAAAAAAAAAATTACTACACTGACCTGGTGGTGTTAACAATGTCAAAAATGTTTTGATTTGAGGTATTACTATTTCCACGTTAAAGCTCAGCTTCAGGGTGTGCTAGTCAAACAACTACAGCAATTTCAGATGATACTAGTAGTTAGCCATTCTAGCCTAACAAAGGTTACTGGCTACAGCAAAACTAGTGGAGGCAAATGTGAGTACCTCAGCTGCTGCAGTTCAAAACTCCCAGCAATGTAAATGAGTGAACAGACAGGACTGTGAATAGTGCCAGTGGAAGCACAGACCAGCTTTCCCTTCTGAGCCCCGTCTGCAAAGGAACATACAGTCAAGGCACAGGGAAGGAGAAGACACACAAGATACTAAGCTCTTCCCCTGCTTTGAATATATCTTTTGGGATTTGTATAAAGCCTAAAAGGATTGGGACTGCCGTGCTTGCAAAGCGACTTCTGGCTTCAGCTCTTATCAAGCAAGTGAAATACGTTTAATTTTTAGTCGCATACTCCACTATAGGAAATCTGAAGCAGCTTTTTGAAAAATATCAACCATACCTACCAGGAGAGTTTCTATATACATTTGAGATAAACTTCTTATCTTGGAGGAATAGTTAGAAATTTCTATTGTTTCACATGCAATTATCAAGGACTTCTAAAACATGTATACCTACCTTTATATATATATACACACACACGCATTTATACAGTACACATACGTGATAGCTATTCTGTACAATTTTGTGTTACCTTTACCTTGTCTACAACAGGAGTCACTCCAAATAAGAAACACAGAAAAATATCTTTTGTTAGTCATTAACCAAGCAGAAACCAATCTTGCAGCTTTCTCTTACCCAAGAGGCAGAGAGTCAGGCAGAGATGACTAAAAAAAACCCAGGTCTTAGGCACAAAAGCAGTAGATATGCAAAGAGGTAGTCTGGTCACACTACTCACCATCGTGATGTTAAAGAAATCACTCTGCTCAGCATGGGAGTATTTTATCTTCTGGCTCCGCAACCAGCTGTCTGAGATTACAGCAAAAAGACTTTGGTTTTGACTTTTTGGATTTGGACGCAGATAAACTGGCTTGGGCCTTAGTTTTCCCATAGATCCATTGGATTCCATCTCCTCTTGTATTTTTGTCCTGGACTGTTTTTCTTCCTCTGTTGGTTCATCCTCAAATTTAGAGTCAGAATCAGGGTCATCAGAAGGTTGTTTTGTTATTTCTTCTGCACTGGTCATCTGTGCTAGAAAGAAGTTTTAAAAGAACATGTAAAATACCCATACATGATTACTTCTCCCTAGCTACAAGCCTTGCATGTTCCATCTAGAAGCTAGATAAGGTTCTTCTGAATCTTTTTTAGCTGAAATAAAGGATTTCCAAACCCAAGTAGGCAATAAGAGGCCTGCACAAGTGTTTGATTTTAACCAATTAGCTCTTAATCAACGACTATATTAAAGGAGGAGCTGAAACACACACTATTTTTTACCTGTGCCTACTGTAAACTAGCCTAAAATATGGGGATGTGACTAAATTAGTTAAAAAGTTGTTTAAAAGAGCTAGTTAGAATTTTTTTTTCCTCTTAAGAGTTTGAGAAACACTTTAATGTCCTAATCCTATAAACACACTAGTATGTAAAAATTTAGTAATGTGTCTAGTCTTACTCATTAAAAGGAAATTTAGAGCATTTGTAGATATTGTTAAAGGCCTGGTGCTGATAACAGTCATTATAGGGCTGGAAATTGTGAAGGTAAATGAAATAAGCATAACCTGAAAATCTCATTCAAAGCATCAAGAGATTCCATAGGTAATCTCTTCAGGCAAAAAGCTGACACTCAAGGGTATGTGGCACAGCTACCTTTTACCTATGCAAAATACATTTTTTATTCTGATTTTCAGACTGCAGCAGTAAGCTGTGCCTATGCTTCTCAGGGTGGCTTGTGTAATTGTTACAACCTCTTACAACCTGCTCTTCGTAATTACTGTGCTGTTACCCACAAGAGCGCACTTGAGTGTGCGGAGGGAAGATACTGTACTACTGAAGCATGCAGAGGCTGTTATGAGCTTAGCTGTGTGCCAAGAATGCACAATGGGAGCTGAAAGTTAAAAATTCAGTGTGCACACATGTGCAGGACGGGAAAGGAGGGGGAAATGCAAGCGTGTGCTGTGGTAAGTATCTCCTGCTCCTTTGCCCTCTGTGGGTATTGTCTCGTTGTTATTTCTATGGGATCGATTATAGGACTGGCAACCACATTGTTAGGTGAGAACTGAGGGCACCAAACAGAAGTAAAAGCTTGCTGCAGTAAAATTTTGTTCTTATTTTCTTTCCTACAGCTGTTCTGCAAAGGCAGAATTACTGCTTTTGAACTTACGATTGATTCTTCAGCCGGGATTGCTTATGCTCCAGCATTACAGCAAACTAGCAAGGCTTTATCCTCAGGAGTAGATCAACAAGCCTATTATTAGCCTAAACCAAAGCCTGTTGTCAGGTACTGACATGTTAGAAATAGCAATCAGAGATGGATTTGAAAGAGGAGCAAAATACACAAATAAACGAAAATGCACGTCCTGTTCCTTCAAAAATTTTCTGTCAGCCTCAGCATTGATAAAAGAATTCCTTAGCAGCTCACCCTGTAACACCACCACCACCCCTCAAAAGAAAGTATAAAAGCACTATAATACTGGAGTTTGAAGGTGTACAGAATTAGAGGGTTAGGTTTGCTTTCTGAGGGATTTTTAAATAAAAATTTACAAAAATTACCTGTCCTTTGCCTTTCCTAAATAAATTACCTCTGAGAAAAAGGAAGGGGGTAAAGAAGAACAGCAGGCAGCAGCTTGACATCTTATAAGCATATTTAACAGAAAAGCATAATAATTTAGGTTTAGTTTTCCATATGCTACCAACAGTACTAAAATCTCCTTTAGTTTCCTTCTGTGACAAGTGGCATTAGCCTAAAATAGCTAGCAGAGTGCTTTAAAGATAAAGCCTTTATGCAGGAGCATTTTATCTCATCAACTGCATAACTTACCTTCATTAAGTAGAAGCTGTAGCCAGATAATCAGTATGATCAACAGCATTACAAATGGCAAACAAAACCAGAAGAAAAGAAGAGGAAAGGTCAGATCATTCACCAAAGGAACCAGAGGATACTTCATTGCTTGCTTCAGGTTACACTAAGTTTAGAACAGCTTGCCTGCTCTGCTTTGCTAACTACCTTTTAATAACTCTTGTTGCATCACTGTTAATCACAAGACAGCTGATATGCTCAGAATGGTTAGCAAAAGGGACAGCCCAGTGCTTGTAGGGAGGGAGTAATAAGGATTAAATACGGGATAAGAACAACTGAGAAAACATCTGATTTGATTGTCTTTCCTTTAGCTGTTATTTAAAGCATAAATACAAGTCAGGAAGCTTTCAAAGCTTATGTTAAAATAGTAGTTAAAGGTATGTATATGTCTTCTATAGGGGAGATAACCTAGCACTTCAGCCACTTTGAAGCTAGGTAGCCAAAGTTGCTTTTGAGAAATCTGTAAAACAGAATCAACCCTGCAGAGATGTATAGAGGATGATTAGCTAAAAATTACTTCTACCAGGCTCTCCGATTTGACATGGAGCACAAGTATGTTCCATATTAACAGGGACTCTACTGTTAGCCTACTGTCTATGTTTCCATCTGTTAGTTAATCCATTAGTAAAATAAACCTTTGTATTTTAATTGCCTTTCTACCTCCCCTCCAAGAAAGGCAAGATAGCATGTTCAATAGGATGTGTGTCTGAATGTATTTCTTAATAGTAAAGGAGTTCAGTAGTGATCAAAGTAGGAATGGATATGTGACTTCGGTAACTTGATATTCATCACACTGTGTGTTTCTCCTTCAATAAAACAAAAACATTATCTACTGCTTCCCTCACAGGGGGTTGTTTGGTTAAATTAAGTGTTCATATACCTCTCAGTAAACCTTAGAAGAGAGCAGCTATGTAAGTGCACATTATGAACAATTGCATGAACATTCTTGCTTATGTGCATGTGTTTATGTAGTAACAGCCCCTTGAAATGATCCTTTTAATCCCAAGATCTAAATGAACTTTGCAATTTCTTATTAATTCACGTTAATAACACCCCTGTGTGATAAAAGAAAGCTATTATCCCTACTTTGTGCATTGGGTAAGCAAGTAAGAAAAGCCATTAATGACCTGAGCTTCAAGGATGCTAAATGTTTGCAGCCCCATTTCACACAGCAGGGGCTGCAGGTTGGTGGCATTTCTGAAAATCAGACTGTTGGTGGTTTGTCTACAAATGCAGTGACAGGAGTGACCAAGCAGAATCCAGAAGCTGTGACCTCTTCAGTTTTAATGGTAAAGTGTTTCTCAGTCGCAGAGACCTCTCGGGGCCCACCCTGGCTCTCCGCCGAGCTGGGCTGGCGGCTAGGTTTGGGGAGCAGCCGTGGCAGGACGGCTCCCACCTGCGTGCCCATCTCCACAGTGCAGGGCACGGATCCGATGGGTGCCCGTGGAATAGGCGAGGACGTCACAGCCATGGCTCGCACCCCTCTTTTTCGGCAGGGAGATGTGCACCCCGAACACTGACAAGGCTGCGGGGAAGCACACGCCGTGTCTGTGACCTGCCGGGACGGTCCGACACAGGCCGGGGCCGTGGGTTTTTACTTCCACGGGGGTCACTGACACTGGGGAGGCTTCAAGATCCCAAGTTTAAGTCTGAGAGGCAGAGGGCACGGGTGTCCCTGTGGTACCTGTGAACTAAGATGATTAGAAAAGAGATATTTGTGGAATAGAATTATTAAGATCAATTTAAGCTGTTTTAACCATTTAACCATTGTGCTGCAGAACAAATACTAATCTTTTGAGGAATAGTTAGAATAACTGCAGGATAAGGAACTCATAAATAATCTTACTTGAGACAGTTCGGCCTCGTATTAGTAGGTGCAAAGAAACGTAAAGATAAGGAAACTGCAAATTAGCAACAAAACCAGACCAGGCCAGCCTTGAAGGACAAGATCTATGTAACCCCAGGGCTGAGTTTGCGCAGAAGGGTCAACTGGTGGGCAAAGTGAAGACTATGAGCCTTCATCTAAAGACCCCTGACAACCACCTGAAGACTCCAACAGACATGCGCAAGAGACATTAATGTATGCTAATGAATTCCCGGAAAAGTTATGAGTATGATAAAAACAGTATAGTAAAAACGTAACGAATATGTATGTTTAAGGTAGTATACATACTCGTTGATTTTGTCCTCACACACACATTAGGAGGAGCTATATCCCCTGTGTGTCCGGTGCCGTAACAAAGAATGCCTGCTTTCTAAAACTGCGAAATTGCGTCTGAGAGAGTGAACTAACTACCGCCTCCCGGTAACACCTGCGTGAGGGGGCACCTGCAGGGAAGGGGGCGGGCGGGCCGCCGCGGCTCGGCCCGGAACAGCGACTCGGTGCCCGCGTTCCCGCCCGGAGGGAGCCGGGGCGGGCGCAAAATGGCGGCGGCGGCGGGGCGGGTGTTCGCCTTCCGCGACGCTCGCTGGGCCCCCGACCCGGTGCTGGAGCCGAGCGCGGCCGTGCGGACGCCGCAGCCGGTGCCGCTGGTGATCGACAACGGCTCCTTCCAGACGCGGGCGGGCTGGGCCTCCCCCGACCCCGCCGTCCCCGCCGAGCCCCTGCTGCGGTTCCGCTCGCTGGCGGCGCGCAGCCGCGGCGCCCGCGGCGGGGCCGGCGCCGAGACGCAGGTGGGCAACGACCTGGGGAGCCCCGAGCCGCTGCGCTGGCTGCTCCGCTCGCCCTTCGACCGCAACGTGCCCGTCCAGCTGGAGCTACAGGAGCTGCTCCTCGACCACGTCTTCCAGCGCCTCGGCGTCGCCTCGCAGGTACTGCCGGGCGGGGACGGCGTGAGGCCCTGAAGCCTCCGGGGAAACCAGGCCCGGCCCCGCAGGGGTGGGGGGGGCAAGGGGGGCTGTGCCTGGGTGCGAAGCGGGAATGGGGCGGCCGCAGCGTCGCCCTGCGTTGTTCCAGGACATCGTGTTGTCCCCCTTGGCGTGGTGGACAGGCCCTGAGCAACTTGCTGTGTCGACCCGGGCAGGGCCAGGGGCTCCCCAGGGGTGTCATTTGAACCCCGTTATTCTCTTAATTTCTAAATGGTTGTGTGGTGAAGCGAAAGTAGGAGGATGAAGCTGCAGGGCTAGAGGTTTGGACTGCGGCATTTTAGCAGGCTGTTGCCAAGTGCCAGCGTTCAGGATCAGTTTTTGAGCAGGACATTAAACATTATTAGTTCTGTGTAGTGCTCACTGACTGCTCACTTTGTTTGCTCAGCTGAGTTGAGAGTTGCTTCTCAGGCCATGAAGCCTTTTGCCTGTGTGACACCACCAGTTTGAAAGCTTTACCTAATGCCTAACTAAACTTCTAGCAGTTTTCACTCTCGTTTCACGTCTTCATTGCATAGATTTTGATTATTTGGACTTTTAATATTTTGTATATGCTTTTAAAAATCCATTCTCCTCCATTCTTAGGAGTTTAATTCTTTGGTTGAACTAACATTGGAAGCCCTGCTGTAAACAAGACTTATTTTTTACCCCCATAAGCGCTAGATATAATTTAGCTTATGTGACTAATAGCCTGCACATGAAGTGCCTTCTCAGTTCTGTTTTGGAGGAGTTCTTGCTGATGTTCAAAAGAAGAAGCAAGGATCAGTATCCCTGGATTTTCACTTTCTAATTTTATTATTTTTCTTTTCTCTTGTCTCTTACAGGGTTGTGTTGATCATCCAATTGTTTTGACAGAAGCTGTGTGCAATCCTCTGTATTCGAGACAAATGATGTCAGAGCTTCTCTTCGAATGTTATCAAGTGCCAAAAGTGTCCTATGGTGTCGATAGCTTGTACAGTTTTTACCACAACAGGAGGCAGAACTGGCCCTGCAGTGGCTTGGTAATATCTTCAGGTTATCAGTGTACACACATTTTGCCAGTCTTAGAAGGCAGGTGAGTTCTTGTTAAGTGTGGTGCAACCTCTCTTTGTCAGTCATTGACTTTTTAGTGATGCAAATGCCCATTCCTCTAGCATTCAGTATTCCAGCTCCTGCAGTATCAGCTCTTATTGGGTCTTAATTTATACAGAGTTAAAACTAGGTCTGCAGATTTTGCTAAGTTCTGTTGAATTTTGAATTGAAGAAGCAGTGCTGTCCTTGTACATCTTGTATTTTTAGTTACTATTCATGCATAGATCTGTACTTTCAAAAGTAGAAGGGAATATCTGCCCCAAGTAAGATCAAGCATTAAAAAACATAGGTTTTAAAGCAGCCTTGGGACAAAAGAAAGTGTTCTCTGAGATTCCTGCAGTTCCTGAGGCTTCTGTCATTCTGATTATGCTGCTATGTTGCTCTACTCCTTTTTTTTTTCTTTTTTTTTCTTTTTTTTTTTTTTTTAATTTCTGTAGGAAATGGCCTTTTGTCTAGTAGATGCTTCACATTTTTGAGGGTTACACCTGACCAACTGTGAAATGTTACAAAGGTTAAAGGAACTACTTTTAGCTCCACAAACCATCACTTCCCTTCTTAAAATAGAACATTTTCTTGCTGTAGTAAAAATTACTCAATGTATGGGGTTTTTAAAGCACAACAGAGCCTTTCAGGAAGTATCTGCAGTAAACAAAGCAGTGATTATGCTTGTTGTTTGAGAAAAGGTGTGTTAGATTTTCTGAATCTAACTGAATCATGAAATACTAATCTGTGAATATTCATCTGTCTACTTGACCATATCAGAAATTAAATAATACTGGGGACAGTAGGAGGTCTGCTTTACACTGAACTTGTGGATCTCTCCAATCTCAGTTGTGTCTCTTTGCATCTTTAGTTTGGATGCTAAAAACTGCAAACGTATTAATCTTGGAGGGTGTCAAGCAGCTGTATATCTGCAGCGCCTCCTTCAGCTGAAATACCCAGGACATTTTGCTGCCATCACTCTCAGTCGCATGGAGGAAATACTGCATGAGCATAGCTACATTGCAGAGGACTATATAGAAGGTAAAACCAACTGTAATTTACCACTAGATAGTGTTCATCCTCATCCAGACTTAATTTTGTCCTAGGCATCCCTTGTTCTCAAGTTGTCTGGGATTCTGGCAGAAATACCCTACTACTTTTTTGTGTTCTTTATAGCTGTCTTTGGTAGTCTACCTCATGGGAAATGCTTGACAACAGTTCCAAATTTCAACATTAAGATAGAAACAAAGTCAAATTACAAAAAAAA